CAAGTCCTGCAGTTATATACAAAATAAATCTACTACCTACACATAAATTATTTGATATCAACAGTAAATAAGAGGTCACAGAGAAAAAAGATGCGAGGAAACTTAACTTGTCTTTTAGATTGGAAACTTATCACTTTGCAGAGGATGGATTGATATCTGAATTGGGATTAACACCACTGATGATAATCTGCTCTAATAGGTGAGCTGTATTCCTTGAGGCATACCTTTTGTGGTTCTGATGAGAGGATGGACCTTCCCATGCCTTGAATTTTATTACGAGGCTGACGGTTCAGGAATGCCTCAAGACGGCAGCTTCATGCTGAGTTTGTGACTTTCAGCAAGTCTCTGGGAGGATGAATATTGCCAAATGATCAGTCAGTTCTAAGCCAAACTGGAAGCAAGAAGTTGTCTTTGAGAGGAGGCCACAGAATTATCGAATCCCTCCTGTGTGGAAGCAGACCATTCGGCCCAGCGAGTCCACACCGACTGTAGTGATTGGAATGAGGGTAAGGTGGGTCCCATTGACTACAAGATCCTTGACTGCGCTTGTTAACCTGAATTCCCTTCACTTTGATTTGTCACGTCTACATTGCCCCAACTGGGCCTTGCTTGTTACTGATTCCCTGGCCACATGGGTGTTTCTCCTGGTGGTGGAAATATTGAATCAAATTATTTTGCACAATGGTGTTTTTACTGAGTCCCTGCACTTACACGTACAACACAGGTGTTGTGGTGTTAAATACACACTGCTGCTGTATAGCTAGTGTGTGGGGGTAACAAAAAAATATAAACAGGAGATTCAGGGAGTCTCCCCATTCTGGGGACTGGCTTTGAGCAGGCTGGTCAGAGCCATATATGCGCACACGTAATACCAGCCCCTGTGCAGTTATTTCATCGACCCTCCGAACAGCATTCCACCCGTACCCTACCCTATCAATGGAACCCTGCATTTCCCAAGGCTAATCCATCTAGGTTGCACATCCCTGGACACTATGGGCAATTTAGCATGGCCAATCCACCTAACCCTGCGCATCTGTGGATAGGGCACCATTTGCAACCTCAACTGAACTTCAGGCATCAGAGTGTTTACTACCACCTGCACTATTCAGAGGGAAGTGGGGGACAGAGCTCAATCCCATAGGTTTCACATGTGAGCAATAAAGTTCAGATTTGAATTTACAGGCACTTCCTTTCAGATTAGAAGACCATCATTCCTGAACACACCACGTGATGTCAAGGAACGGCTGACGGCACTGAAGATGTAAGAGGCCATTTGCCCTAACGTCACTTCGGCAATGCCACTGAAACCTTGTGGTTTTGGATTCGGAGTACCCATAGCCAAGCTCATGCAGTACAATTCCAACGCTGGATTCACCCAGCAATGTGGAAAATTGGCTAGGAAAGTCCTGTTGTTTTAATAATCTCTGCTGTAAACATGAGGCTTTTTTTGATAACTGGGGCTATTGTGAATGCTTGACTGAGTTTCAACAGCCATATAAACATTTATCTTAACAGGAGACAGTATTCAGAGCTTGATAGTCTTGAGAGGCTATTAAAAGATCATTTGACTTTGATGTGATAAGTGTATTAAAGTTTGCTTTTCCTCATATAAACCGATGACTTGAGAGGATTTCAAGTCTTATGAGTATTTTCTTTGATTCAGAGTATGTTTTGTATGACATGTGTTTTAATCAAAGCTCCATTAGATAACTGAATGTTTAGTTTTTAATGTAATTCCAAAAGCATGGTTCCTGAGGCTGGCCCATTGAGAATGCTGGTTAAGTATCAACAGAGGATAAAGGAGGGAGTGGAAGCTGGGCAGGAACAAGGGGTGAAGACTGAGGTTTTGCGGGGGGGGGGGGGGGGGTGGTGCGGTGGCTTAAGACCAATATTCTCAGCTCAAGGTGTTACTGAGAATCGAGGTGGGCCATCGAACCACCTCACCTCTACAACCACTGGCTAAATCGCATTTTGGCTTGCAATGCCTGACATCATGCGGTTGAGCAGAAAAGGTCCCTGGCTGTCAATTCCCAGCTTTAAACCATGAACAGGAAAACGTGGCATGCACAGGCATTCCCTTCCATTTCCACTGTCGCTCTGCCAGCTGTATATTTGGTAGAAAGAGCTGCCCTCTCATGATGGCAAGGGTTGTACAGGATCCAGCACATTCCTCCAGAACGGCCCAGGTCCAGGAAGGATTATTGATGCACCTATTGGTCTGCTCAACTGCATTCCGTGTGGCTGTAAGCACTTGGTGTTCACATGTGCATGGATTGTGAACCAGCTTCATTAGCAAGTAGGTCAGTAGATAGCCCTTGTCATATGGTTTCTCAGCGTGACACAAAGAAGTGTATGGTCAAAGACCAACTGCATGTTGAGGGAGGGGAGTCCCAGCTGGTAAATCACCGATTTGACAAGGCGCATCCGTTCAGTGTGCAGTCAATAGCACCTCACATCATGGAGAGGGAAAAAAGAATTCTCACACAGCACCAGGCTCATTTCACCTGCTGCTCTCTGGAAAGAGAAACTGATAGGTTGTAAACTCCTTATACAGATCTCAGTAACCTCCGTTAAACAACGGATGGCAAATTAGGAAGTCTTGCAAATATGACCCGCTCCAGCCTGGATACATACAGTCACTTCCATAGTCCCTGACAATGTTGTACATAGACTGCTCTCCAGCTGCTGCTCTGCCTGAACTGGGTGGCAGATTTCTATTTTCTTCCCTCTCCTGGCTTGTGGTTCTCTGTCTCTACCTTCCCCGAGTCTGTCTACCTCTGTCTTTGTCTTCCAATATGCACTTACCCGTAGATGTATAGATTTTCCTTTTATTTATTCACTTGTGGGACATGGGCATTGCTGGCTGGGCTGGCATTTATTGCCCATCACTAGTTACCCTTGAGAGGGTAACGATGAGCTGCCTTTTTGAATCGCTGCAGTCCACATGCTGTAGGTGGACCCACATGCCCTTAGGGAAGGGATTCCAGGATTTTGACCCAGCGACAGTGAAGGAACAATGATATATTTCCAAGTCAGAATGGTCAGTGGCTTGGAGGCAGTGGTATTCCCATGTATCTGCTGCCTTTGTCCTTCAAGATGGTAGTATTTGTGGGTTTGGCAGGCACTGTCTGAGGATTTGAGGTGAATTGGATGAACTTGTTTTTAAAACAAAGTACAGTGGGGGCTGATACCCACTGTTTGCAGTTTGTGAAATTGTAACCCTATTCTTTGTACACATATACTTCATGGAACTGTCAACAGTATTCTAGGACCGGAAATTCTTAGGGAGTACACAACAGGAAGGATTTTGCACAGCATCTGGCCAATGTTCCAACCTGAACCAGGGGTGTAAGTGTGCATTCCCTGTCTTGGAAACTCCTAAAGTGTCCTGGAATTTGGTTTTGTGTTCTGAGACCCAGGTCTGGCCTTCCTTACTAAGGAAGGAATCACCCATCCCTGTGCACTCTGTACTCTGCCCCTAGCTGAGTGCTTCCTGGAGTTACCGTGCTCTCCAGGCTCCTGCCCATCGTCAGAGCTGCTTCAGTAAAGGATGGGATACAAATGTAATGAACAGAACTGTCAGAAACCTCCATTTCTGATAGCCATTCTGTTTGCGGCCAATTCATATCCTTCAATACTTTTAGAGAGGTCTCTGTGCATTTTTTTTGTTGAATAGGTGTGAATAGTGCTAGGATGCGGAATGGTCTGTGGTATGGATATTATTCAGGACCAAATGTTGAAACAGCAATTCAAGTTTCAAATTACCAAAGTCCTTTATGGGTCTGGTAAGGGCTTACAAGAATGAGACCAGATGTGCTGTAAACCTGTCACTCCCGCATATAAACTGGGTAAACAACCACCCGACTGAGAGTGTTGAGCAGAGTCGAAGTTAGCATGGACAAAGTGACAGGGCAATTCTCCCTGTTCCATCGTTACAATATGTTACAACTGTAGAACAATACCATTAGCACACCAGAGGGAATTTTGCAAACCAGCACAAAGCTTATTCTCATCATCCTTTCCTGTTGCAACTGCCATGTTAACTGAACATTCCTACTGCACTGTGGGCTTTGTGCTTCAGGATGCTGTTTGGAACAGGCTATCTGAGCTAGCTTCATCCAGAAAGACGGTGATCGAGAGGGAAAGGGAGAGAACAAGAAAACAGTGGCTTTCATTCCAGGAAACAATAACAAAGAAAAAACCTGTAATTAAGAGTCTAATGATGACCATGAATCCATTGTTGACCATCGGAAAAATACATTTGGTTCACCAGTATCCTTCAGGGAAGGAGATCTGCCATCTTTACCTGGTCTGGCCAACATGTGACTCCAGACCCATAGCAATGTGACTGACTCTTAACTGCACTCTGGGCAATGAGGGATACGCAATAAATGCTGACCTAGCCAGCGAATGCCCTCTACAGTGAATGAATTAAAAAAATAGAACATCTGGGTTGGATTCAGAGTAAAGCTTCAGCAGCAAAAAGAGCTTTCACTCACCCTATTCTCTTCAGCATCTTGACTGTGTTAGACATCAAACCCAAACATGCCTTGCAAAGGACAGCAGAATCTATTTAAGATTGTTTCTCTCAACTGTACCAGGAATTGTTCTCAAATGGTTAAAATACATGGTGTAATTTCCAGACTGATTACCAAAGGCTACTGGATAGGTGGTTTTCATGGAAGCATGGAATACAGTATGAAGCACGCTAACAACACACCAAGAATAATGCTGGACATTCTTCCGATAAGAATGGAAATTGGGATGTCAATGTGTCATGATAAACCAGTCCCCAATTATAGCGAGCAGTAAGGCCTGATGCATGAATAGAAAAAACATCAAGGAATTTGATCCTCAAAACTTTGGTAACAATGACCAAATTCCACCTAAGAACAAGGGACAGTGACTTACTTTTTCAGTCATTATGAACCAGTGATAATGGCAAACAATGGTTAACAATTTGGTACTTTAATACCCAACAGCACAGCCATGGCACTTACCGTCCTCTGCTGAATATATCAATGCAGACAGGCTAAACGGCCCATTTCCTTTGCTGTTAAAAGCTTTGACCTTGACTTCAAATGGAGTGCGCGGAGATAAAGAGTCATCTTTGTGAACGTATCTGCTGCCTTCAGGGTTGGGCACCGTGACTTTCCTCCATTCCTTCGCTGTACTTGGCTTGAAGGCAACAATGTAACCAAAGCTGCTTCCATAATGGTACTCCCTTGGTAGAGGCTAACAGGGCAGAGAGAGAAAGACAGAGCATGAGAGATAGAAAGAGACAGAGATGGCAAGATTGTGAGCTTCAAGGAAAGAAGGCTAAGATGTTATCCAATTGATAACGGTTGAAGGATTTGATTGAGTAGGAAGACTGAAACTACTTCCTCTGCTGCATAAGTCGAAGAGATTGTGACCTTACAATTCAAGCTAGGATATTCAAGGTAAGGTCAGAAAGCAGCTCTTCAGACAAAGTGTCATGCAAATTTGAAGTTCACTCCCCGAAAATATAATGGATTGTGTTATTTAAAGGGATGACTCAGGCAATGTTCTGGGTTCAAATGCTGCCACAGAAGATGGTGGAATTTGAATTCAATTAAAAAAAAAGTGGAATTACGAGTCGAATGATGAGTCCATTGTCGATTGTTGGAAAAACCCATCTGGTTCACTAATGTCATTTAGGGAAGGAAACTGCCACCCTTACCTGGTCTAGCCGACATGTGGCTCCAGACCCACAGCAATGTGTGGTTGACTCTAAACTGTCCTTTGGGCAATTAGGGATGGGCAACAATGCTGATCTAACCAGTGCTGCCCTCATCCAATGAATGAATGAAAGAAATATTAAATGCCACAACTAAAAATGGACAGAATTTTACTACAGAAGGCTGTTGAAAGGTAAGTTATAGACGAGCCATGATCCAACTGACTAGCAGAATAGCCTAGAGGGGCAGAATGGCTAACTTGCATTCAAAGTTCTTGTCACGTGTACAGCTGCAGGAGGAACCTTGTCCCACGTTCAAGTATTGCGGTTGTGCTCATTCTCAACTAATAACAACACTAACAGCTCATCAACTATATTAATTTTATTTTAATTAGGTTTATTTGTTGACTGGTGTTGTTTCAGTCACATCACAGCATTTCCAAACGTACAACACATCCAATGTCAACAATTTGTAAATGGCCGCTGTTGCAGATCTGAAACAAAAGTCAATAAGAATAAAAACAGAAAGCGCTGGTGAAACTCAACAAGTCTGGCAGCGTCTGTGGAGAGAGAAACAGAATTAACATTTTGAGTCACACGAGACTTAAACCTTTTACCTCTGTTTCCGTCTCCACAGATGCTGCGAGGGCTCTGAATTTCTCCAGCACTTTCTGTTTTGATTTCAGATTTCCGTCATCTGTAACATTTTGTTTTAATGTGAACAAAATTCAAGCTGCTGAAGTGTCTCCAGGCCACAGGAGATCATGTTTGGTTGCATTGAAATGAACAGTCTGCGGTGACCCACCTCACCACCCCAGACAGTGGCTAATCTCCCAGGCATCATATCCATAGCCATTAGCAAGGGCAACTGCAACAGTGGTTATAATTATGGTCTCATATCGAGACCATTGATAATTATTTAATCTGGAACCTGAAGCCTTACATCACAAGCAAGGCTCAACTTCCCAGAGGGCTCACTGCATTAACAGTCAAACGTCCATGATGCTTAACTGATCTGAAATCTGCCTGGAGATGAGAGTAGAAAATGGTTTGTCTTCTGATCCATTCACGGAGCACGGTACGGTGTGATGGGTGCTATTTGTCGATCGTCTACATAGGGGCACAATCTCACCTGTGACTCAGTGGCAGCACAGCAACCTCCAAGTCAGTAGCATTTTCAGGTCAACATTTCACTTCATTTCTGCACGAGTGCTGCACTGTCAATGGTGCCACATTTCTGATGTGACATACCCACACCATTGCTGGGAGGTAAATATGTCACATAAAAAAAAACATGATTTGAAAAGAGGCAGGACCGCCCCTTCAGGTTTTCTTATTAAATTTACCCCTCAACCAACATCACTAAAACCAGTAATTGCTCTGTGCTGTGAAATGGGACGTAGAAACTTGCTCTTAATATACCTTCGGGTTCTGGGAGATTCAGTGAAGACTTGTATCCTCCACTTGCCACACTTTCACCTCACAACTGCTTTCCAAACAAGTCAAGAGTCAGATGGTGTCAAAGTCACCTCCTTTGTGCTGTCAATGCATGCACTCAATACGAGATTTAACCAGCAATCTCGTCTCTGCAGTCGGGATTGAATCCATGGCTTTCTGACTAGGAATCTAAATTGGTGCCACTGAGCTACATTGTAACGCTACCTTACTTTGTGACTTTGACAGAGGTCATCGCCTCTTTCAAATATATTGAAGGGTAATGTGTAAAACGTGGATAAATTATACGACAAGTAAGTTGTAAAATACATGTCAAGTGAATGGCCAAATTACAGGGTAACACTTATACTAAAGACACAAACTAGGACAATTGTTATACTTTGAACACTCATTTGCACAGATCATCATTCAAAGCCCAAGTATTTGAAGTTTATTCTGGTCTCTTACTAACTGGAATGTCTCAGGAAACGCAATTAATTTAAAATGCAAGTTGTTTTGCGAAACAAAACCATACAGCGTACTGAGAAATGATTTTCATTTGATAAAAATTCGAGTCACAAAAATATGCCTAGTATGCTTAACGTTTTCCGCGGAGGACGGGTCAGTGATGGACGGTAAACATGTCCTATTTCCCTTACCAACGTGGTCAGTAACCGAAGATGGAGTCGTTTGTAGATGAGGCAGAGGAATCATGTTCTGTACTTGAAGTGCTGTTAAGCTACAGGGCTTTGGCCCAAGAGCTAGAAAGTTAGCTAATTGTTCATTGTCTGCCACTGGCCAAATGGCTACCTTCTTGCTTTGGAAATTTTCCATCATTCGGAACCTGCTATTAACTTTGGGCTTTCTGGGCCACTTGTAATTGTTAGTAAGGCTGAAGAACATCCAATATGTGTAAAACTGTTGAAGTGAAGGAGGGGTATCGCTCTGCTCTCTTTACCAGAACCTACCGTCCATGTCACTGTCAATTCCCGGTGGTTTCCACCACCTCCTCCAACATCAGACGGAGCCACGGTGGGAGCTGTGGGAACAAGAACAAGCAGGTTTCAATGACTGGAGGTGTGGGGGACAGCAGAAAAAAGAAGACTCCCGCGTTTTCTTGCAATGCCAACGAGGCACGAGGCTGATATAATTACAATAACAAGGACCTGCACTAGCTGCCAGAGTCCAACTCCTTGCCAAGACTAACACATAACTGTTGCTCTGGGACTGCTGCCAGTTCTCAAACAGCACCACTGAAGCGAGGCTGTCAGCAAATTCTTTGCTACCATATCGGAGATATTTTTCCTTAACAATTCCCCACCTAATTCGGCACAGGCCAAAATAATCATATCTACATCCTGAAACCAATAGAAAGTGTAGAGGAACAATCCAACCACCTTTTACTGATAGCTCTGAGGAACATACATTTCCTTCTCCTTAAAATGACGTGCTGTTAACACTCGCCATCTCCTTTATATCTCCTCAACTAGTATTGATCCAGTTGTCTTTCAAAGGTGTCAATTGACGCACAATCGACTTCCTGCCCGAGAGACTGTTTAAAGTTGCAGAGAGAAAGGTTTTATTTTCCTATCCCCATCTTGCTTGGGCCCTGCCATTTCCTCTAATGCTTCTCCCATTGTCTAAGTTAACGAGTCGTGTTTCCTTCAGTCTCATTGCCTTAATGATCTAGATTAACATGGAAATTTTACCTCGCACAGAAATCACGCAAAATACTGGCTTACGAACAAGGACAAATGCATTAAAAATATAGATATCCAAACATTCTTAGACAGGCTTCCAAGTAGATCAACAAAAGTAGGCCTTCCAGGGAAACCTGATCATTATCAACAAAAATTAACTGCCAATTAGATTTAAGTCCAATAAATATAGGGAGGGGCAATGAATGCTGGTCAGCCAGAGACTCCCATGTCCCACAAGAGAATAAAAAACCCAGAGATGCTAATATCGACACTTGAGGAGCCACTTGCCTGATCACTGTTGTTGATCCACCTCAGGGTCAGTGTGTCAGTTTATCTGCACACAATGTCATCAGTGTTGCAAAGTATGTAACCTGAAAGTATCTAGGTCTCTGACTCTATCTGAAGCGGGACAATGTGAAGCAAGCCTCGCAGAGGGAAGCATATTGCTCTTTGTAACTGAATAGCTTAATGTTAGCTCCGTAATTTTAAAGTCAACTCTCTAAAGAGTAGGAATTAATGAGTCTTCTTCCAAGTGAGGGGCAGTGACTAGTGGGGTATCGCAGGGATCAGTGCTTGGATGACAGCTCTTCACGATGTATAATAATGATTTAGATTGGGAAACTAAAATTAAAATCTCTCGCTTTGCAGATGACACAAAGCTGGCTGGGAGGGTGAGATTTGAGGGGAATATAGTAATGCTTTAGAGTGAGTTGGACAAGTTGAGTGAGTGGGAAAATGCATGGTACATGCAGTATAAGGTGGATAAATGTGAGGTTATCCACTTTGGTGGCAAAAACAGGAAGGCAGCTTGTCATCTGAATGGTGATAGGTTGGGAAAGGGGGAGGTGCAACGAGACCTGGGTGACCTTGTACACCAGTCGCTGAAAATAAGTATGGAGGTGGAGCAGTGAAGAAGGCAAATGGTATGTTGGCCTTTGTAGCAAGAGGATTCAAGTACAGGAGCAAGGATGTTTTGCTGCCATTGTACAGGGCCCTGGTGAGACTACACCTGGAGTATTGTGTGCACAGTTCTGGTCTCCGTATCCAAGGGAGCTTGTTCTGGCGATGGAGACAGTGCAATGAAAATTTACCAGGCTGATTCCTGGATGGCAGGGCTGATGTATGAAGAGAGACTGCATTGTTTAGAACTATATCTCCTGGAATTTAGAAGAATGATTTAGATTTTGGATTTAGATTCAGATTTCATCGTCACATGCACTCAAGTACAGGAGTACAGTGAAAAGTGTACAATGTCAACACACATCGCACCATTTTGGGTACAAAAGTACCTAGCTACAAAAACTCAGGAACAATAGCTGTATTAAAAATAAAAAGGATGGTTAGGAAGAGAATAGGTCCCCTTAAAGATCAGCATGGCCATCAAGTGTGGAGCCAAATGAGATGGGGGAGATTTTTAACAAATATTTTCCCTCAGTGTTTATTGGGGAATCATGGATGCTAAGGCAATAAGGGAAACAAGTGGCGATGTTTTGGACCGCATACATATTACCAGAGAGAAGTTGTTTGCAGCCTTAGATCGCATTAAGGTGGATAAATCCCCTGGGCCTGATCAAGTCCATCCTCGGGCATTGTGGGAGGCTACGGAAGAAATTGCAAAGGCACTTGCACAGATTTTTGCTTCATCTTTCGCCACTGATGAAGTTCCAGAAGGCTGAAGGGTGGCCAATGTTGTTCCATTGTTTAAGAAAGGTAGCAAAGACAAGCCAGGGAACTATAGGCCAGTGAGCCCGACATCGGTGGTAGGCAGGTTATTGGAGAGAATACTGAGGGACAGGATCAACCAACATTTGGATAGTCAAGGTCTGATTAGGGATTGTCAGCATGGATTTGTGTGCACAAAGTCATGTCTGACAAATCTTTTAGAGTTTTTTGAAAAGGGAACCAAGAGGGTAGATGAGCACAGGGCAGTGGATGTTGTAAACAGTCTTTAGTAAGGGTTCTGCACAGCAGGCTAGTCATGAAAGTTAGGTTGCATGGGATCCAGGGGAGAGCTAGCTAATTGGATTCAAAGGTGGCTCGATGGTAGGAAGCAGAGGGTGATGGTTGAAGGTTGTTTCTCGGACTGGAGGCCTGTGACTAGTGGTGTGTCACAGGGGTCGGTGCTGGGGCCTTTGATATTTGTTATTTCCATAATTGATCAGGATGTGAATGTACAAGGCATGATTAGTAAGTTTGCAGATGATACAAAATTAGGAGGTATTTGTTGATAGCGAGGAAGGTTATGAAAAATTACAGAGGGATCTTGATCAGATGGGGAAGTGGGCTGAGGATTAGCAAATCCAATTCAATACAGATAAATGTGAGGTGTTGCACTTTGGGAAGTCAAACCAAGGTAGGACCTATACAGTAAATGATAAGGACTAAGCAGTGTTGTGGAATAGAGGGACCTAGGAGTGCAAGTACATAATTTGTTGGAAGTGGTGTCACAGGTGGAGAGGGTGGTAAAGAAGGCATATGGCATGCTGGCTTTCATCGCTCGAGGCATTGAGTACAGGAGTTGGGACATTATGTTACAGTTGTATAAGTCGTTGGTGAGGCTGCGCTTGGAGTATTGTGTACAGTTTTGGTCACCCTGTTATGGGAAAGACATAGTTAAACTGGAAAGTGTGCAAAGAAGATTTACGAAGATGTTGCCAGGACTAGTAGGCCTGAGTTATAGGGAGAGGTTGGCCAGGATAGGACTTTATTCCTTGGAAAGTAGGAGATTGAGGGCTGACCTTATTGAGGTGTATAAAATCATGAGGGGCATAGATGGGATGAATGCATATAGTCTTTTTCCCAGGGATGGGGAATTGAAAACTAGAGGACATAGGTTTAAAGCGAGAGGGGAAAGATTTAAGAAAGACCTGAGGGGCAGCTTCTTCACGCAGAGAGTGGTGCATAGATGGAAGGGGCTGCAATAGAAAGTGGTTGAGGCAAGTACAATAGCAACATTTAAAAAGACATGTGGATAGGTACATGGATGGGAAGGGTTTAGAGGGATAAGGACCACATGTGGGCAATTGGAACGAGCTAAGTGGGCACCATGGTCAGTATGGACCAGTTTGGGCTAAAGGGCCTGTTTCCATGCTGTATTACTCTTAGACTCTAAGTAGGAAAAGACAGAAACAAAGTTTAAAAGGTTAAGCATTACAAACTATTATACTATAACTAAAAACATAAAGAAAGAAGGTAATAGTTAATATTAAAATCCTTCTAATATAAACTATAATGTGGTGGGGATCTCACAGAAACATGGAAAATTCCAAAAGGACTAAATAGGATAAACGCAGGAAGGGTGTTCCCAATGACTGGGGAGTTCAGAAACCAGGGGATCACAGTTGAAAAATATGGGGTAGGCCATTTATGACTGAGATGAGGAGAAATTTCTTCACCCGGGGAGTGCGGAGCCTTTGGAATTCTCTGCCACAGAAAGTAGTTGAGATCAAAGCATTGAATGTCTTCAAGGAGGAGTCTGTTATGGACCAGACCAAACCCATCAAAATATATTAGGAAGATAGCTAGGACACCAACTTTTTCCTATTTTAAAGGTAAATGTAAGGTGTTGCGTTCCAGATGCAATTTGACTGGTCGAACTATCAGATTTGAAGTAAAACACACTTTATTCATGCACTATTAAAATGCAACAAAAGAAAAAAAAATGAAATAACCTAACTTGACTGGAAAACTTAATAATAGATTATTTAACTGATAAACAGTAACTGTTCCAACATAGTAACATTCCACAAAAGCAAATTCAGTGAAATAGACACATGCAACTCCAGTCCAGGAGGAAAGACATCAAGAGAAACCTGAGAGAGTGTGTATCAGGGAGAGGCATACTGCAAATTCCTAACCATGATGAGACCCCAGTAGCAACTGCTACTGAAAGCTAAAACTAAAAATCCTAATTCATGGGAGCTTGCCCCACCCATTCAGGCTGCTTCTATTGTTCTAATTTAGAAACAAAACTGCAAGGCCTCACAAGCTGTTTACTCTATGGGCTTTCACAGACAGCTCTCTTCCTCTGTTTTAAAACCTCTCTTCAAAAAAAAAGGACAAAATACACCTCTTAAAGCCACAGCATTGTCACAAATTAGATATAGATCTTAGGGCTAAAAGGATCAAAGAGTATGGGACGGAAGCAGAAACAGGGTAGTGAGTTGGATAGTCAGCCATGATCCTACTGAATGGCAGAGCAAGCTTGAATGGCTTCCCTCTGCTCGGATTTTCAATGTTTCTATGATATAGTAGTGAGCTGTAATAAATATGTTTTGGATCTTTCTACATGAGGTAATGACAACCAACTGGAGGCAAAATGTACATTAGCCCTCACCCT